CTTTTTTTTTACTCTTTTAAGTTTCAATGGGCTCATTGTTGCAACAGTGGAGACAGATGTTGTCAGGCTAGAAAAATATCAAAGATATATTACGTTAAAATGTGCAACTGGTCAAAAACAGACAAGTTAACTCAGTTTTTTTATGGCTTTGAAACAAATACATCAAACTTATTGATTATAGATATTTTCCTGTACTAAATACCCGCACTAATAATGCTCATTTATCTTAGCTGACCTTAGGAAACCTCCACTTTTAAAATGCCACAAGCCTGACGAGCTCTTAGAGCTAAGTCAACTGTTGAAATCGTGACCCTAACCTGCTCTCATCAAGATAAACAAGTGAATAACAGTTGAAAATCTTGCACAAGCCCAAACGTGCTGGTTTGATCTGTTTGTCTTTCAGTGGTGGTCCAAGCATCGTCAGATGCTCGGCTTTGAGCCTAATGGAAACATACTCACTCAGTAGGGCATATTTTTTCTTATTTTGGTGATCTAGATTGTAAGTTTGATTCTGATTTAACACTCCCTCTGTACATCTCTCTCTCTTTGCCTGTGTTTCTTCTGCTTCGTCAGTTCTTGTCGAGGTCTGTGGGTTGACTGGTCCCCCCTTTGACTCCTGACCCCTTAATCCCCTGCCAGCTGCAGTGAGGCCTCCAAGGAGGACTGTGAGTGTGTGTGCATACACGTGTGTGTGATTGTGTGTGTGTGTGACGTGTGTGTGTGTGTGTGTGTGTGTGTGACAGAGAGAAGAGAAACGGTGTAGAATCATTGTAAGAGTATGTATGTAACTGCATTCTTTGTTAAAATCTGTACTGTCTAGCAGTTTCATTAACATATGTTATCATGGATGTGTGTGTATCTTTACATATGTGTGCATATCTTATCTTCTCAGCAGCAGTGCAGCTATAAGACTGTATAAAGGACTGTGTCAGTTAAACAATGGGTTGCAGAGTATTATAACATTACTCAGTATGGCACGATTGGGCATACAGACACGTACACTTGTGGCCAGTAGTGTTATTCCTGTTTATCAGTGGACAAACAGTATGTGTGTGTCTGACTTGGAGCCAAACATGTCAAGTCAGTCACAATTTTCACGGTTAAATTTGTTGAGGAACAAGCGTGGTGCCACACCTGTAGTCAAGGCTGTAATTAAGATGACAGTTTTGTTGATAGACCTGTACTGTAGCACAGCTCCTTTTAGTCAATTGGGATCAGTTGCACATCTTGTCTTATCGAGCAATGCGAACGTGCGAAAGGGCAGCACTAAATCACAAGGTCCCCTGGTAATAGTCCTGTGCAAATAGGGCTTTAATCCTATTGGACACTTTTAGTTTATCTTCATTAATGTCATGACAAAAATACAATTGATTCAAAATTTAAAACAAACTAACCAACACAGACTTGTTGCAGCACAGAAGCAGGGTTTGCATGTCAGCTGTACAACAAAAGGAGAGTAAAGGGGAACATGATACTACATGTGCACCTGAATGCAGACGCACATAAGCACACATTCCCTTAAACTTACACCTGAGGCAAATGTGGCTTAATAATCTTTCACACGTCCTGACACATGCGACGTGCTACACACGAGTGTGGACCTCAGCACACGCGTCCATGGTAACCAAGTCTGCTGGTTAACTTCTGTTTGTCAAACTGCCTCTCTCTTCACCTGTTGTGCCTCTGAGTTGTTCAGGACATCACAGATCCAGACCTCCACCCTTTGAAGTGCTTTGTGAGGCCCTGCAGCCCCCAGGCCACTGTCTACTTCCAGCCTGTGTGTGTGTTTGTGTGTGTGCAGGGGAATGAGGGGTGTTGAATGGAGATGAAAGTGTGTGTGTGTGTGTGTACAACCAGACTATGTGCCCTCAGGAAAAAAAGAGAGAGGGGCTCAGAAAAAGGGGGCTGGAAGGTGGGGTTCCCCTAATCTACCACCCCCCACCCTCCACACCAATTCAAACACAGACACCTCTCCTCGCCCTCAGGTAGTGGTATGGCTGCTGGCAGAGGATCGAGGCGGAGGGATGTGTTATCTTAAAGACTTCAGACAGATTAGGTGTCAAGTGAAAATATAAAAGCTTTTGTATATACAGTCCCTGTTTCTCTGGGTTCTCACACAGCATAAAACATATGTTTTAATGGTTTACATGTTTGTTAAATTAATCAATTAATTAATTAATTATTAAATTGAGGTATTACAATGTGCCCAAAAAAGTTAATATCAGTCAAAAAATAAAAGGGATGACAGCTGGCTACATTAGCTAATTTGACTCATGACAGTCCCGTTGTGACTTCAGTGTGCAGATTCTACTTCCTTCAGTCTGTCCCTGCTTTGTAGCCAGGTAGCTAATGTTAGCAAGCTAGCTGCCTGCAAATATCAGGATGATTGCAAGAGCAGATGATTTAGGGTGCAGACTTTTTGGCTGGGTTGAAACGTATTATTACACTGGATGTCAGTGCTCTACTTAGTAGTGTCTGGTACTGACAGGCTATAAATGTTTGCCATAACCTGAATTTTTTGAATATGCGTGACAATGACAGCCATGCCAGTGGTACAGGTCTTAATTATTCTTGCAGAACTGTCTAGCACATTAAGATTTATTAAAATGAAACATTTCAATCATGTCTAAATTTTGCTGCATTTTGCTGAATAAAATAAAAAGTGTTAATTGTCCCTAGACTTGATAAATAAATTGGCTTATATTCTGAATTATGTGTTATCTTTGCATCAGGACAACTGCTTTCTCTTCTGATTGCCTGCACTGTAGTCAGCACCTACTCAAACCTGGTGTTCACTACACATCATGTGTTTAAGATTAAGCCAAGGTCTAAATATATATTCTGCACAAGTTGTGTACTTCTTTTAAAACTTCCTTAAGAGATATGAACTGAGGAACAAACTGCTGATATCAGTTTATCAAAAGGTTAATCATTCCCATAATCTCAGTTTGGTATTCCTGCTCTGGGTAATCTGACCACAGACCTGCCGTTGGAGGCATCTTTCTGTCTTGGTGCCTCCTGGTACCGCAGAGGAATGTTATGAGGAGTCTATATGTGTCACGCTCTTTACCTTCCTACTGAACCACTGTGTTTATACAACACACTGTGAGGATGAGGGGGGAAGGTACTTAGAGACACGCTTCATGGGTTAGTAAAGGAGTAGCAACCCCTAAACCCTCCCTGGGGGTGTTGGGGTAGAGGCGGAGGGTTGTGTTATAAGAAAGTAGAGGTTCCCCTCTGGTGAGCATGTTAAGTCTCAGCCTGTTGTAGGTTTGAGTGAAGAATTCTTCTGGTGTCAAGAAACCTTGTAAAGATGTAATGTGAGTCTTTTTATGTCGCTGAAAACAGAAACCAAATTTAGCAATATCTCAGCAGTAACTACCATCATTTAAATAATGGTATAGCAAGACCATGTTAAAGTTGCTTTAGATGTATAATATAGCAATAGAGAGGAGCAACATCTATGCATAACTATAACTTTAAACTGTAGGGTTTTGATTTTGAATTCTGATTATCAATTAATTAGTAATTGAAGACAATCAAACAGAAATTCAAGAACAATAAGAAACATTTTCTGTTCATCTCATCTCTGTCTTATACCACTGCAAACTGTCTTTGGGTTTTAGACTGTTGGTCAGACAAAACAAGCAAATCAAAGATGTCACCTTGGGGTCTCCGGAATTATGAATCATTTTTTCACTTATCAAGACATTAATCAATAATGAAACTGATAGCTGCACCTTTGAACAAAGTTAGTTGGCCCTGAAAACTGCAGCAGGGAAACAAACCATCGTCAGCATACGTTATCAAGACAGCTTGTTACTGTAAATGGTTTCAGTATGGTTGCAGAGTTCCAGGTAGGCCTGTTCATGAGGGGAAAATCGGCCCCGAGCAGCATAATGACTGAACTGAGCAGAATGATTTATCAGCAGTCAGAGGCTTGATGCTGGACGTCCGCTCCATCTGCGTGGTCCCCCCTTCCTTAAACGATCCCAAATGAGCGGACAAGCAGCTCAGCCCACCCCACCTATACATCTGCAACAACGGCAAGATTTCTTCCACTTGTTTTTACGTGCAGTTTGATTTTGTGCTTAAAAACTAAATGATGGATACACCAGACATTCTACCGTGCATGATTAACATCCACTTCCAATGCAGGAAGTTGTGTGCCCTTTTAACGAAGCATAAAGTAGAAGTGTGGAGGTCGGAGTAGTGGATGGGCGTGGAGCGTGTCTGACCTGCATGCGTGTCCTACAATCCAAAACTTAGTGTTTGCCCCTTTTCACTATAACCAAGACTTCTAGTTGCCTCACCCTCGCTATATTTGTCTCTATTCATGATTTTTTCACCTTAACCATAGCATAGTTGCCATGGCATGCACAGATATTGTATTGTCCATAAAAATGTAATCCAGGGTCAAGTATCAATGTTCTGTCTGGTAATGGAGTTGAGTATCACAAAGATTTGACTGAGAGTGACAGTGAGAGTGACACTCTGTCCCACATAAAAGAAAAATCCAGAGAAAATATTAGGCTAACAGCAGAAAACCAAGATGGAAAACAGATCGAAGAGAAACCAGAACAAGAGAGCAGGCGGGTGAGGCTGAAAACGAGCCTCTCTGCAGTGGTAAAAATCTCACATCTGCAGATGTCAAACAAAGAGGAAGGGGAGAACAACAGCAGGGAAAAAGAAAACATGTTGCCATCAGTGCTTTAGTGCAAGTAGTGAAAGTTTAAAATAGCAACTTCTTTCAGGAAGCAGTACTTCATTTACAAGTGTCAGAAAATAAGAACCAGCCAGTTGCGTCTCCGACTTTATTCCCATTAAAAATCTACCCAACCAGCGATACAGTGACCGAAATCTGACCCGAGGAGAGGCAGTGTGTGTGTGTGTGTGTGTGTTTTGTAACATCAGAGCACCACAGGGCACACTTAAACCCCACTAAGAGGAGGGGCTTTAAGTTGGTGTGGCTGATAACAACTGAAATCTCATCTCTTCACACACACACACACACACACACACACACACAGACTATATGATGCACAACTCCATCCTCTTCACCTTGTACCTCTTAACTTCCTTCATGGGGTTATTAACTCCCTGATTGGGGAGCTTTCCTTCGGGTTTGCCTCTATTTAGTTGTCATGGTGGCATGACCCGAACACTTATTAGCTGACCCTTGGGATAAGTCCAAGCTGGAAATGGGGGAGGCTGGGTTAAGCCTTCACCTCGAGGTGCTCGCTGCAGCATCTCACAAAAACCTTAATTAAATTGCTGAGACACCAAGTCAGGAATGTTTGCTTTGCTCTCGCTCTCTACCGTACGTACTTAGGTCCATCCCTCTTACTCCACCTTTCTTTGCTTTTCCCATACTCATACTCCACGCTGGATTTGTTTTTCTGCCTGCTCACCAACCAATATTAATTTGGAGAGCCCTTATTGTACTCAAACTACTCATAGAGCCTGCTGACAGTGAAAGCAGCAAGTTGCAATGTAAGTAAAAAAAGACAGCAGCTCATTGTCAGCAGATCACTGTCAAGAGTTAGATTTCTTTGAACAGCTCAGCCATGCATTACAAACTCTCCCTTACATTAGAAATGTATACCACCAAATGCAGGTTTACATGAAGTCTAGACATGAATAAAGATCACTTGTGTACTTTTATCTTCTTGTCTATGTGTAATGTGATCGGAAAAGGTTTGGTTTTATTATACTGTAACTACACAATCCACAAGTGTACTTAACAAGGACTCCATGTGCACATGCAAATACCACAGCTAGAGCAAATTATTAGTTCCATATCAGTGATTAACCTCTCAATTATTTTTTACATTAACTAAAATATTGCTCATTCTTTAAAATGACATAAGACTGTGAAAAATGCCCATCACAGCTTTGAGGTGAAGTCTCATTTAGTCTGAGCAATGGTCAAAAATAAATAAAATGATGTAGTGATACAAAACAAAGAAAAGCAACAATTCCACATATTTGATATCCTGGAAGTGGAAATGACTAAATTCTTGATTAAAACCTTAAATATTTAGTCAATAATCCAAATTGAAGTTATCAGCTGAATAATCATTTAATGATCTTTTTCTTTTTCTCTTCTATTTTGCTAACTGATTAGCAAAATAGTTGTGATTGATTTCTGTCAATTGACTAATAGATTAATACACTCTATAGAATAGAGTAAAATAGATAGATTGAAAAAAAATTTTCACCTACAAGAAATGACATAAAATGTACACAGAGGTAACAGTACATGCAAACACCATAAAGTAACGACAGACAGCCTATTTGTCCCAAAGGAGATATCTTGATTTGTCTCCGGGGATCAGCAGCCAGTCATCGAGATTAAAGCCTCCCATCGGAGGTGAAAACAAACAGCCAGAGAGATACCATGGAGGGGCAGATAACGACCTCTAATCCGATACATTCGACACAAACACGGTCTGAGGCAACGACCACGATAAGAGCTAATCCTGTTTCCACGTATCTCTGCAGGGAAACACACCTCTCAGTGTCTCCTCTGTCCGTGCGTCCCTCTGAGCGCGTCTGGCCGGCAGATCCTGACCCGAGATAGTGACCCGTGCGCCGGGAGAGGAATGCGAGGATACGCTGACAGTCACCGGCCACAAGAGAAGCTTTCACATGTGAGGCAGGCTGGGTAAAGGCATTAAAAGAAGCTGAGGCTGGATCAATTATCAGAGCCTCTCAGAGTGTCAGAATAACCGATTCACTATGTGGTTTTAATCGATAACACAGCATCTCAAAGGCAACAAGAGGAGGGTTTACCCTCATGTAAAATAGTAAAACCAGGTTAATCCCAACTGAGTAGCACAGGGAGTTATTGCTCTAGTCATTCGCATTGTGCACTTCTGCACTACATTGCGAGTTTAAAAAAAAATCACAGTTCAGCGCTGGTTCGAGAAAAGCGCAGGGCGAGCTTACCTTGGTAAAGTAATCCAAAGTCCACAGGAATGCGTTCGAGCTGCTTCTACCCAATCTTTTTTATCCACTTTGTCGGCGTGTCCCTCTATGCAAAAGTGTTCAAAAACTTCTTCTTGCAGAGTTCGCGTCCGCACGACGTTCAGATGAAAAGGTGTATCACTGCAGCGCACTCGCTCCGCTCTGTCTGTCAGAGGTTGAAACCTAGGTCCGCCGGCGTTCAGGGACGCACAGACTTTTCAACAATAGCGCTCATTCAAGTAGAGGAGGCGAGCACTTAAACAAGCTGGGGAAGTGGGAGGTACCGTGTGGAGCCGGAGCGCGCGGTCGTGCGCGACCCCGAGGCAGGCTGCACCTGCAAATAATATCTACAGCAGGAAAGATGGTTTACTCTTCACTTCAGAGATGTTGAAGATAGATGACACTAACTTTTGGACAAATGCAATTCACAAATTAATTGTACTTTTCTTTTTTTTGCAATCGTTCCATTTCCCTGAATTGTTTTTATATTTGATGTTTCTATTCATAAATTGTGTGGCCCTCAATACAGCAGCGACACCTGAATCACCTGTATTTTGGTGCAGTTTATTAAAGGAGCTCATCTCTTTAAACCTGCATCAATTGGTTTTTTGGCCACTTGGGGGCAGTGCAACAAACTCTTAACACAACATTGACACTTTATCACATTATAAAGTTAATAATACTTTAATAGTACTTTCTGTAACAGTTGCTAATTTACACATCCAACAAACACAGACCAACATTGGCATTTATTAAGAGTTGTGTCTCTGCCCCCCTGGTTAATGTTACGTTTTATAATTAACCTCCAATCTCTGGTTTGGTCTCCACAAACTCTTGAGGGTAATATCTGACTGTTTAGCTGCTAAATGCTTCACTATATATTCACCAACTACAAAGCTGAGTGGTAATTCTCTGTGGGTTTTGAGTCTTTCACATTACATGTAGTCATTTGATCTATTGTGAATATAAAAACATTGATCAGAACAGCTTTAAGTTTGTTTTTGGAACGCTGCAATCCAAACTCAAGTGATACCAGATAAATGATGGCTGAAAAAGCAATTGTCTGTTTCCCTCCAAGCTCACTGTAGAAACAGATTTGTAAGAAGTGAGATCTCTAATCAGCTACAGGAAATGACCTGAGGTTTTATGGGTATAAGGAGCCAGATCTGAAAGCAAACAGTTCCATTACGCTTGGAAACCTGAACAGACAAAACTGAAGCTTCATTTTTCTTTATTCCCGACCAACGGGAACACCAAAGAGGGCCAATTACAACGAATAACACAGACATCTGTCATGTTTAGCTCAAGTAACAAGGAAATTATTCTGTTTTGTTTCCACTACTGCTACTATGGCCAAGATTTCCAAATGGATGGGAGAGTACGAGCAAATTTTGTCCACTAAATAATCAAATAATCTATACTCTGTAAAACAAAAAAATAATTAAATCAAAATGGCGAAAATTGAACAATGCATTTTTATGATAAAGCACTAAAAAGCCAGAGGTTCGATCCCCTAGAAAGAGTCGATGTTTCCTGTTGAAGAGAGCTTTACACTGAACGTGCTGACTCACTGTCAGTTAATCTAACTTCACTCAAGTCCCAAAAACAAACTTGTGTACATGTGTACAGTTTTAACTACCAAGCCATACACTATTATATATACTGTATATATGCACAGCATTCAGGATAAAAAGAAAGTAGTCCTTTTCACCAAATTTGCTCTTTTAGGATTGTAGGATTTAGTGGCATCTAGCAGTGTAGGTGCAGATGTCAGCTTCTTTGTTTCACCCTCCCCTTCCAAACGCAAAGGAGAAACTACGGTGGCTTCAAAACACCACCTAGAGCCAGTGTTTGGTTTGTCCCGTTTACAGCTACAGTAGAAAAATGGCGGTCCAACATAGTGGACTCCATGGAGGGAGATCCACAGCGTCGTAACAAAAACATAACGATTCCTATATTGAGGTGATTATACACTATTGAAAATATAGTTCTGCATATGATATTTCATTTCTGCCAATAGATCCTCCTAAATGTTGCACACTGGACCTTTAAAAGATTTCCATTACAAGTGTGTCACGAAAGTTCACCCACCCATTACATTTCTTTTTATTTACAGTTCAGTCTCCAAGTTTGCATTTCCATTTTAAGCCTGTGTATTTATACACAGTCTTGGGAAAGTTACTGCAGGTGCACCACTAACCAAATACTTCCGCCCGTCACCTAAGCTGTTAACGAGCTGTGGACGAAGACACTAAATTCAACTGGGGGGCTGTGCTGAAACCTGAAACTCTCATCGTTTTCACCGGCCCACAGCCTGGCAAAATAGGTTTAACTGCATCACTGACAGTGAAGACTTATCTAAGGGTGTCATACACACACTCACATTCAAACACAGCTAGACAGACATTAAAAATTCAGTAAGGAATAGAGGAAAAACAAGACACACAGATGTTGTATTTAAATACATATGTAGTACATGTGCAGCTACGCAGATGTCTACACACACACACAAACACTGTGAGACTTCTGAGAGTCTAAAATGAGACGTTCAGTCAATCACGTCCCAACATGCATGAACACTGTCCAGATGAAATCCTGTTTCCATCTACATGACTCACACACAATAAAAACACAAGGAAAATGGGATCACAGTTAGCCAAATGTGGTGTGTATAATTTTGCAGAAAAAGGCTTTAAATACTTTGTCTGCAAACATTCAACTGGACATGAACCCAGAAGAACAAAGCAAATAGTTTTTTGCTACATTCCATCTAGATAGCAGTCAGTAAAACAAGTCAGTTGTAGCAATTTGATCACATTAGTACATTTGGTACATTTAATAGATGCAGTTTGAGTCTTCCTTTACCAGGAGGTACTTCTTATTCTTTTAAATAATAACACTTAAGCAGCAATCAGATTGCTCCAAATTAATTCCAATCAAATTTTAACTTTAATGACTGCTTGTGGTACAAAAGCTCACTGCTTAAACTACTATAAATTAAAATAAATTGTATGTGCACTGGCACAAAGAAAATCCATCCATCCACCAGACATCGATGTCGATCACTTTAGTTGGATTCCCATTGAAATCAATATAATAAGTCAGCAGCAGGTTTACAGTAATGACCTATGTATGTTACTGAAAATAAGATCACTGACCAACAACAGTGAGCTGTAAGGAACATTTAGAGATACATGAGCACACTAGATGCCGTAACAAAATCAGGGAATGTACCTTTAAGGGAGTTAGGTATGTTAATATTTGATCATTGAACCTCCATTCTTCATCTACTGTACCTGGCTACTATCAGTGGACTGAACAAGGCCAGCTGGGCTGTGGGATCAGTCCCATTAAAGAGCTGCTTTGTTTTATGTGTGTTTGCGTTCCTGCGTGTGTGTGTTTGCGTGAGTGTACTTGCAAGGTTGAGAAAGAGGAACACATTTTGACAGGAGTGCGATAAAACAAACACAACTACTTCATGTTTGACCTGCTGCTTTACAATGAAACACTAAAGTGGGATTTTCTCATGGGAAGAAATCAGCACATCAAACTGATTGGCTGGCCACTGATTTGAGAGAAGGTTTCACTGAGTGTATTTAGTCATTTATTTAGTAGATTATAGATTTTAGTTTATTAGAGTACCAGGCTGAAGCTGAAATAAAAAGTTCTACAACTACTCAACTATTGGCTTTTTTTAACAACTACTAGTAGACTAGGAAAACATTTAGTCGGGGCAGCAGTTTCAGAGTCAGAGAGAAGAACCCTGACTGTGTCATCCGGGGTTATTTTGGTAAGCTTGAGACTACCAAATAATATATGATGGAAAACATACCATACATATATTTTGCAGGTGGGTGGGGATTGTACTGGGGTTACTAATACCAATAAAGACTCAAAAATGTTTAAATCTAGCGGGACGTAACTGTCAATGGAAATTCAAGACATACAACATTTCCATGCAAAACTAATAATTGTATACCAATGTGGTGTGGTTCAGTGTGGATGACTGAATGTGGCTCCTGCAGCAAGAGCACCAGGGGAGGACTGCTGTCACTGACAGCAGTCAGGGTTCGAAAGTGGGAGTGTTTAAGTCTGAGTGTTTATGTGATTCACACAGCTGGGGCTGGGGATGGCTTGACCCTTCACAGACCTCCCCAACACAGCGGAAATGACTACTGTCAATGTAAAACCCTCGCCGCTCTCCTTCAGTCCCTCCCAAACTCCTCTCAACTGTTGCTTTACAGAAATGTAAATAAGACAGGAAAACAGAAGCAGAGGGAAAGTTAATCTTTGTCTGTCCTTGTATACTTCAGGGTGAATGCTGTGTGTGTGTGTTTATGTGTTTGCATGCACTTGTATACTTCACATTCAGTAGCTGTGTGTTTTACAGCATTGCAGACATTGGCAGAGTTCCTTTAATGAGGGCTGGTACACAGACTGCGTTTCGAGAGAAATTGCTGTGGCGGAGAGGAAAACATGAAATAACACAAAGGAATTCAAGCCTGGAGTTACTCTCCCCAGGGGAGGCAGTCAGACTCGCTGTTTGGTCCTGAGCCAGGAACACTAAAGGAAGACGAGAACAGCGTCCATGTCTTTTTTTAAATTCCCCTTTCTCTGCCTTTTAACTGCTCTTTGTGTCTGCCTCTCTCTGCCTTTACTGAAACAAGTGGTCTTATACAGTTCTTTTTCTTTTTCCTCTTTAACGCACTGCTGCCTTTCTTTCTCCATATCTATGTGCGTGTTGATGAACACACACACACACACTGAGTATGGTATATTAATAGAACTTTTCTCCACTGATGATGAAGTTGCCACACACCTACACACACACACACACACACACACACAAACACCCCAGGCCAGAGAGGGCACGTGTGTGTGGTATGGGAGTGGCAGGATTCCAGTAATACTGCCTAAGGAGCATTTCAGGTCAATGCAAAGCAGTCAGTGCATTTAATTTATGTAAGAAGTACTCATTGTGATAGTAGAGTTATAAAATAAACAGTTGAAGTTACCGTCCATGAAAGACCACAGTGGGATTTATTTTACTTTTTACACTTTTGCGTACCTTAACATTACCCATTCCCAAACTTTCAGTAATGAAAATTGAACGCTTTACTTTTACTTTCTCACCCACGCACACTCACACGTCGATGGCAGAGAAGCTACAATGCAGGGTGCCAGGCTGACCAGCAATTGTAATGTCTTGGTCAAGGACGCTTTGACATGCTC